AGGTAATGCAACTACTAAAGGATACATTCCGATGAACCAGCAGCACAGTGACTAAGAAGACAGACTACCGCTTCCCCCAGTATACTAGGGGCAATCTGGGAAGGAGTTCGGCAACTGTTTCACAGCAGTTAAGCCACTTACACAGCAGGGACAGCAACATCCCAGAAAGGCAAGACACAGAGCATTATGAGAGACGACCTCTGCAGTCACATTATTTCATCTATGGACTCTAACACAGAAAAACATTCTAGACACAAGAACTGAAGTGGAAAATTCAGAGGGTACAGTATGAATTACAGCTCCTGTCAGTATAAATCCTGTTTAAACATACTTGAAACTGCAAAAGAATTCATCATAACTCATGGAAGGTTGCTGGCTTCCCCAATAGCAATGGCCAACAGCATGGTCCCAGCTAAACTACAGTGCTAAATTAAAACTGCATAAGCCTTATCCTGAAATTCACCTCTAGTCTTCTTAGAAGTTTCCCATCCCTCACTGGGATAAAACAACAGGAATACAGATATAAGTTACCTTGCCCTATAGACAAGAGTACCTTGACTGTACCTGTAGAATGAGTTCTTGTAGTTGAGACTGTTTTTGTTTTATTCTTTCAAGTCTTCTCTGTTTCTCCACCTTAAGATAGAAAAAAGGATTGGTTAGTTTGTTGGGTTTTAAGTAATGTTTTGTATCATTTTCTCCCCTTAAAATCATTTCACTACCAGAGAACTGGAGGTAGGACATAAGATGCCAACCATTAAGGCTCTGCAGCTAATTTAGAGAGCTAACTATCAAGACTCACACCAGTACTACTGATGGAAACTGTAACAAAGAACAGAATTAGAGCACTGGGGAATAAAGTACAATGTATAGGGAGAGAGTAAAAACATCTTTGCAAACATAAGTTATGCCTCAAAGAATTATCCAAATTCTCTCAAGGAGATAAAGAGCATGTAGACCAGAACTATCCACTTGATGTAGTCTACTGATATTGGAGGTGTTGGAGAAGATCCATCAAAGATGCTTAAAGAAATGAAGCCACTATGGAGCCCAAGATTAAGTCCTCACAGTATTAAATACATACTAAATAATAACATAAAAGATACAAGACAAAATGGTAGGAAATAAACAGCTTTCTCAGTGGAGAAAGCTCACCAGAAGATTCCCACAAGGACTTCATTTACAGACTGTTATTCAAATTATAGAGGATCAGAATAAGGGGATGAACAGCAAGGTGACAGAATCTGCTGACAGTGCTGTGTTACCTGGCATAGTAAAAAGAGAGCTCATCGTAAAGCACACTGAAGTGTCTTGTAGCACTAAGTGACTATATCATCAGAATTAGTTTTGGTAAACATAATGTGGTATGTGTTAGAAAACATAATCTGTCCAGACATATTTTAGGCAATGACATTCACTAGAGATCTTAAATTACAGTATCTACAAAAAACATTAGCTCAGTACACCACAGCAGCCAAAAATTTGTGTTATTAGGCAAAGAACAGAGAACAAAACAGAAATTATCACTACATCAGTGTATGAACCAGAATGTTTACATCTTCAAGTCTGTAGGTCTGGTGTTCCTATTTCAAAAAGACCATACAAAAGAGCAATCAGGATAATCAATGGTACAGAACAGATTCCATACAAGGGAATAATGAATAAACTAGGACTACAGAAAGGAGAATGAAATAACGGGGGAGAAGATGGGAGATGCCTGTAAAACCATGAATAGGACAGAGAAAGTGAATAAGGAATGTCCAGGTCACCATCACTTCCAATCAAAAAAAAACCCAACAGAGGATATCAACTACATATAGTATGTTTAAAACCAAACAAAAGGTATTTCTTAAGAAGCTTCTAATGCACCTGAAACTCACTGCCACAAATGACTCAATATTAAAAGCAAACTTTGTACAAAGTAAAAATTTGTGGAAGAAAAATTAATTGAGGGCTATTAAATAGAAGGATATTATGTCTGCCTCAGGTTATGCCTGAACCACAAGTTACAGGAGAAAACATCACTAAACACTTCCTCTAATCTTATATTGCTCCCTAGGTAACTGCTACTTGTCAGGCAAGATACTGGGTAGACCGACTGCTGGCCTGAACATGAACTTTTGTTCTTAGGTCCTTTAAGGACCTAAGATATGCAACTAACAAGAAAATGACTGGAGTTAAAAATTCATGTGAATGCAGTTTTCTGTTTGTTTTCGGTGAAAAAACAACCAGAAGTGTACATGTTGAAAAACCCGCAAAAAGGTATGATGTTACATTAACAAACAAACAAAACAAACAAACAAAAAAAAAAAAAAAAAAGAAAGAGAGAGATAGGACCAAGTCTTACAATTTAGCATTAGAAAATAAGTCAAATAACCGCCTCCCCCCCAAAAAACTTACCACAACTCACCTGAGATATTTTCTTATCACATGCATGTAAACTACACTGCTTTCCACATTACTTCAAGATACAGACCTTATTAATTGCCCCCCACCCTCTCTTTTTGCATTATCAGGATATTTTACCAAATCTAATATTCTAATTTACACACAAAGTACAGGTTTAAAAAGACTTAAAATACTGAATACTTGATGAGGAACCCCTCAAACTCCTATGTTCTCTTATAAACTATTTGGCTTGATTTTTCAACAATTTAAGGGTGAAGCTAAGCAGTTATCAGATGGAATAGTAAAAAAAGTTTATTAGGTTTCACAATTTTAAACATTAGTGTCCACAAACTCATTAAAAAGAATCTTATTGCAAAACTTGTCAGGTAATGTCACTAATAATTTAAATGTCAATAGAGCTTGCAGAAACAGGAGCTAGAATACTCATGAAGCAACAATGGGGAAGTGAGGAATCCTGCAATTTCCTCAAGTAAGCTCAACACATCTTAGGATTTTTGCTATTTTCAAGACTATATTACACTTGTGGCTCAATTATTCAATGGTTAACAGAACTCTTTCCTCCTCTTGTGACATCCAATTAACAAGTTCTCACTTTGGTATCAGAAGTTATCATTGTTCCCATCTTAAACGCATGAACCTTCACTGTGCATTATTACATTCTAAGTTGCTAAGTTACTTCAGTACTAGTATTATCCTACTCTTCTTTAGGACATTATCAATCATGACATCAAGCCCAGCTGAATAAGCCACATGTCTTTTTCTTTTGCTCCAACATTACTGGCAATGCCATACTTTGTGAGACAGATCCAAAGAGATCTACTTTTAAAATCCCTCCAGCTAGCTGGTTCCCTTTTCAGCACACAGCACTGTCATCTTCAAGCCACTTCACCTTCCATACTCACCCTACTATTTATGCCCCAATTATCACTCTCTCACCTTAACTAATAATTTTCACTTGGGATGATAAATATTTAAATGAAACTCACATTGATTAGATACCCTGTATTTTCTTCATCTAGATAGCAATTACAGTACTAACAGAAAAATCAATTATCAGTATCAAACAAAAATCTCCATAGAATTAGCCCTTTGTAGATTCATTCCAAAACATTCTTCCCAATTTATCAGCTTCTACACTGATTTTTCAGTCCTGCTGA